CCCACTGGATCGGGGCCCCCATTGGCCACTGCTGGCTCTGGGCTGGCAGGCTTGAAGCTGGCACAGGCACTGTGGCCAGTGTCTACCCCTTTAATGGCTCCGGGGCTGGGGGGAGGAGAGTAAGTTTTCCTGGTTGTGTCCAGAGTGGCCACCAGGGCTCTCTGGGAAGGGCTGGAGGCCCCCTATTTCAAATTAAGTGTCTACACAGCACTTAATTCGAAATAGCTATTTTGAATTTGGTGTTACTCCTCGTAGAATGAGGTTTACCAAATTCGAAATAAGGGCTCCACTATTTCCAATTTATTTTGAAATAGTGGTTTGGCTGTGTAGACACTATTAAAGTTAATTCAAAATAACTGCTGCTGTTTCGAATTAACTTTGTAGTGTAGACATACCCTTACAGAGGATCTGAACAGATGAACTCATAAGAGATACAGTATTAAATTTTGCAGCGTTGTGGGGAAGGTGCTTACTCATAGTCCTTAACATCTATTTTTTTGCATTTAGATTTGCTTTGTTTTATGTGAGCGTAGAAGAACATAATTTGTTGGACAAAAGTCAACATGGTTCCTGTAAAGGGAAATCCTGTCTTACTAATCTATTAGAATTCGTTGAAGGGGTTAACAAACATGCAGACAAGGGGGATCCAGTAGATACAGTATGCTTAGATTTTCAGAAAGCCTTTGACACGGTCCCAAAGGCTCCTGTGTAAATTACATTGCCATGGGATAAGAGGGAAGGTCCTTTTGTGAATTGAGAACTGGTTAAAAGACAGGAAACAAAGGGTAGGAATAAATGGTAAATTTTCAGAATGGAGAGGGGTAACTAGTGATGTCCCCCAAGGGTCAGTCCTGGGACCAATCCTGTTCAACTTATTCATAAATGATCTGGAGAAAGGGGTAAGCAGTGAGGTGGTAAAGTTTGTGGATGATACCAAACTGTTTAGGATAGTCAAGACAGAAGCAGACTGTGAAGAACTTCAAAAAGATCTCACCAAACTGAGTGACTGGGCAACAAAATGGCAAATGAAATTTAATGTGGATAAGTGTAAAGTAATGCACTTTGGAGAAAATAACCCAACTATACATACAGCCCCTTGCCTAGCCTGTTAGATTCTGGGAGTATTGACTCATCTGTTGATGTGCCATTGAAGACCCTGTATAGTGGTTAGGTAGATTTATAGAAAAGTAGTAGGGAAGTTAAATATCGGTTAATTGAATAGTTGAGTAACCTCATGAATTCTTATCGGTTAGTCGACTATTCTATAGTCCCCCACAGGTGGGGCCAGCAGCCACTGTATCAGAGGTAGTAACATGGACTGCCAGGAGGGAGCTGGTCTGTGAGGGGAGCCGGTTTAAAAACCAGCTCCCCTTGCGGACCGGGTGCCTGTCATCCAGTGCTGCTGCCTCTGATAAAGAGGCAGCAGTGCGGGGTGGCAACTGCCCCTGTCTAGGGTGGGTCTGAGCTCCCAGTCCTGGAGCTGGAACTGAGCCTGGCTACCTGGCTCCTAATACGCTTTAAATGCAGAGCCACAGTGGGGGGAGGTCCTGAACCCAGCATGAGCCTGGCTTCTGGATAGCCTGCTAAAACAATTTGGTGTGTGAGTGTGAGTGTGTGTGAGAGATGCTTGTGGTCTATAGCATTCCCTAAAAAGTACTTCAAACACATGCCAAGCTGCAGAGACTGTTGTGGTGGAAGGTAATTATGACATTTGAAAGAAAATCTGGTTAGAAACTTTCACTTAAATAACTAGTAATTTGAAAAATTTTATTGGTGGATTTCTTAGTTTACAGGCCCAGGGGTAATGATTCAGACTGGCCTGTTGATAGCAATTTGGCCAACAATTACTAGCAGCCAACTATTGAATAATGTAAACCATATTTAAATGAAAGTCATATATACAGTGATTCTACTTTCTTCATTACAGTGACACCTCACACACAGTGCAGACTCAAATTGTTGAAATTAGAGCGAATAAAAGACTACCTCCTTATGGAGGAAGAATTTATCAGAAATCAGGAACAGATGAAACCTTTGGAAGAAAAGCAAGAGGTAAGTCTAGAGGCAATTATTACACTGTTATTAAAGCTGAGATATTACTAACCTAGATCTTCACAAGTAAAATAGTAAGCAATATAAATTAGTAGATGCACAAGACTTGGAAATAGACACTGAACTTTAGACAGGCTAAATATTTAATATTTATTTAATTTACATTTAATAAAGCATAGAATGTGTAGTCTCCTTACTGAGCTCCTCCTAGTTGAAGAACAGAGGATAGAGGACTTTACTTTTGGGAGTATTAGGGATTGGGCTAGTGAGTTGAATATGGGTACAGTTTATTACAGGTGAGGCATATGGTTTTGCTTAGTGAGTCTCTGAAGGTAGAACTCCTAAGGTGGTCAGCCAGCAAAGGAGGGAAGGAATGCGCTAAATACATATACATTCTTATAGGGTAAGTGACAGAAGCATAAAGTAAAATGAGATTAAACAAGTGATTTAGCTTCTTGGCTGCCCCCCAAAAAGAGAGCTCCTATCCTTCTTTGCTTTGGGAAAGGACCATGGGATTCATACCACATCACATAGGGCAGAAAAAACTTTTTTCTTCAAATAGTTGTAAAAAAAAAAATCATGTTTTTCACTCACAGGTAGTTGTTCTTGCTTTAGTGTATATGTTTAAAGCAGTATAATACGTGTTTTGCAGAAGCTAATTTTTTGTTTCTGGGTTTAGTACTTTATTATTGCTTGTTTCTTGCAGGAAGAGAGATCAAAGGTGGACGATCTGAGAGGAACCCCAATGTCTGTAGGTACCCTGGAGGAGATCATTGATGACAATCACGCTATAGTGTCTACATCAGTGGGATCTGAGCACTATGTCAGTATTCTGTCTTTTGTGGACAAAGATCTCCTAGAACCAGGTTGCTCTGTTTTGCTTAATCATAAGGTAAGTGGTCTCATCATATGAAGTTGGAGTGTTGCGCATGTTCCAGTACCCCATTGTTTTTGGTATCTGTTACACAAGTATAATAATGTGAGGTCTGAGGATAGGTATTTTGTGTTCCATGTCATTGTGTGAACATATAGCGCACTTATTTGTGGATTCATGTGTAGCTTTTTGTTTTATCTTTAGTAAAATAGCATGAAATTTACTGAAATCATTTTAATCAATTATATTTTACTAATATTTGATATTGGAATACTATTTGCACTAGGTTCATGCTGTTATAGGAGTCCTGATGGATGACACAGATCCTTTAGTTACCGTAATGAAAGTGGAGAAAGCCCCTCAGGAGACTTATGCTGACATTGGTGGCCTTGACAACCAGATTCAAGAAATTAAGGTATTCACAAGTCTAACTAAAAAGCAGAGCTCTTTCGGCACCTATTATCAGGAAGATATATTATATGATAGTCAAAAACTTGTGCCTTAACTGCCACAGTTGCTGTGAAACCCAAGATAGCATTGAGAGTGCTGGGATTTTGTACATTTAAAATTCTTAGCTTTAGCAATTTTTTACAATTATCAAGATTTTCAAAAGTGATAATGATTTTGGGTATCCTCTATTTTACCTTGCTTTAAAGAGACCTGATTTTTAGAAAGTGCTGAATCTGTGCCCTCTGCAATAGGCACTTGTATTTTGGGTGCCCAACTTGAGTCACTTGTACTAGTGACTTTTGAAAATGTTGATCTTAATATTTGGTAATTAAACATTGAGGAAACCAGATTTCTCTTGTTCAGTAATCCTCTAGCGCTCTGCACACTGGGTTAAGAATCAAGAATTCCTGAATTAAGCTCTGATGTTGACTTGTCATCTGGCATGTGGTTGGGCACTCTTTCAGCCTTAAGTGTTTTCATTTCTAAAATGGGGGCAGTAATAATCAATTACTTCAAGTGACTGTTGTGTGGATTAATTAGTATTTGTAAAATGCTTTAATACTTGTTTTTACGATATAGGAATCTGTGGAACTTCCTCTCACCCATCCTGAATATTACGAAGAGATGGGTATAAAGCCACCCAAAGGAGTAATTCTGTATGGCCCACCTGGGACAGGTATCCTACATAACAGTAATCTCCCGCATTAGCTCTAGAGTGATTGGTGTTCATCCACCTAAGTCCCATGTGTAGCCAGCCCATTTTAGTAGGCATTTTTCAGAGGCCACCACCTCAGTTGGGCCCTGTTCAGAGCCTTCCTAGAGAAGGAGGAGGTGCCTGCCTTAAACATTAGTCCAATGGTTAGAGCCCTCACTGGGGGGTGTCAAAGATAGGTTTAATTCCCCCATCTGCTGGAGAGAGGATTTGAACAGGGTCTCCCATCTCACAGAAAAATGCTCTGTTTTCTGAGCTATGGGATATTCTGATGTGGGGTTTCTGTAGTTGAAGCTATACTGTTGTGGATAAATGACTAGCCCTACATCTCACATCTCCCATGTGGATCCCTAGACTACTGGACTTAAAGTAATTCTCACTCTGTCCCTGGCCCAGTGACTGTTCCTCTGTGGATAAATAAATAGGCATTGGGCCAGAAAGAGAGAGAAACTGACTATGCAGTGCAGTAGTTAAGACACTCACTTGGGATGTGTGAGGCTGAGGGTATGGTAGCCCTGCACCAGTCATGTCCCGCAAGAAATGTTTTAGCTGTTTGACTCAACATGGCAGGTCATCTTTCATGGCTCACTAAACAGAGGTAGATGCCTGCCTTCAGGATCCTCCCCTAGCATGGAGCTGCCTAGCATGTTGGCTTCTTTAGATAATGTTTTAAGGCACCTAACCCTCACATTGATTGCTTAGAATAGTAATAGAAATGTAGCCTTGTTAGTCTGGTCTAGCTAAAACAAAAAACAGGACTACGTAGCACTTTAAAGACTAACAAGATGGTTTATTAGGTGATGAGCTTTCGTGGGCCAGACCCACTTCCTCGGATCAAATAGTGGAAGAAAATTGGCATGACCATATATACACCAAAGGATACAATTAAAAAAATGAACACATATGAAAAAAACAAATCAAAGAATCGATGCACATAAAACAGATATTAGACAGGATCACAAAGAAAAAAGTTTCTTGCCATTTCAACCAGAAAGAGCATTGTCTCGAGGACTTAACTACCTGCATCCTGCTTCAAAGACATTTTAACACCAGTCTTGAAAGAGAATCCTCTGAACTGTCATTCATGCTTAAATTTGGCACTTTACACCTAGGTCTCAACAAAGATGCTAATTATCTTACCCATTCCAAAGATAGCTTCCCCAATTATCACCTCTAATATCGTTAGCTCACAGACATTTACCCCCCCCCCCCCAATCCTCCCCCTGTTCTGAAATTCGATTTGTCTTTTTCATATGTGTTCATTTTTTTAATTGTATCCTTTGGTGTATATATGGTCATGCCAATTTTCTTCCACTATTTGATCTGAGGAAGTGGGTCTGGCCCACGAAAGCTCATCACCTAATAAACCATCTTGTTAGTCTTTAAAGTACTACATAGTCCTGTTTACTGATTGCTTAGGAAATCTGTGTGCCTAACTCAGTCATTGTGGATCGCAGTGTTGTTTCTGTGATTTTTCTAGGCACCTAAAAGTTAAGCACTGTGGCACTCAGCGTTGTAATCTTAGTTGTTGAGTTATAATTTTAATGTAATTATACTTGGTACCTCAGCCCTGTTCTGTATTTCATGAGCATTTTTTCTTAATGTTAATAACTATTACTGCAAACTCACTGCAGTGTTTCTTTACAATTGATAATAGGTAAAACGTTACTAGCCAAAGCAGTGGCAAACCAGACCTCAGCAACCTTTCTGAGAGTTGTTGGCTCTGAGCTTATTCAGAAGTACCTAGGTGACGGACCAAAGCTTGTGCGTGAATTGTTCCGTGTAGCTGAGGAGCATGCTCCATCAATCGTCTTTATTGATGAAATAGACGCCATTGGTACAAAGAGGTAGTGTATTGAATTCAAGTTTCCAATGCTGAATACAGTAATTTTGCCAAGAACAATACAGAAGTTATCTGAAACATTTCTTTTTGTGTGAGTTAGTGATGAAAGGACAAATTCAACACTGACATTTTAATATTACATTATTTTTAATATAAAATTTACATTTTTGACAGTAAAATTTGAATTTCTACAAAACTCTACATTTTTTTTGTGTGTGTATGTAAAAAATATGCCAAAAATTAGCTGTTGCTGGAGCAGCGCCTAACAGGCCAACTATAGTAATGATGAATCACTTTTAACCAGGAAAAGCTGGCTTGAGTAACAAATAAGTTCATTGTGGCTCCAGCATTAGCGGAGTACTACATTTTATTACTTAAATGTATTTTTCTGTTGTCTTTATTTATATAAATCTGTAGAGCCCTGAAAATCTGTAGATATTTCCTTTATATCCACTGGTATCCGCATCTGCAGATATCCACTGTTCATTTTTGTGGATGCGGATATAAATTTTGTATCCATACTGGGCTCTATAAATCTGCTTTTTAAATTTTGATAAATTTAAAATAACTAACTGCGTGGGAGCATTATGGTAAAAATCAGTGCACAGTAACTTTCCAGAACTTTTATATAATTTTTTATTGTAATACTCTTCACTGTAGAAATCAATAAAATTGATCCACGTGAGTGAGCCGTTATGTCACACTGAACTAATGTCAACTTGCATCTGGGATGTACTGTTTTAAAGATGCAGCAAGGTTTAATTGGGACTGACATACTTCACAGCTTAAGGTGTCCTTAAAGCAGCCCATTATCACCCTAAAAATCCAAGTGTTAGAAATAGGAGAATATATTTACACATTTTGGGATGTATGCATTTCCACTTTCATACTTATTGGTTTGGTTACATTTCTTTCTCTTGGCCTTCCTCAAAGATATGACTCAAATTCTGGCGGTGAAAGAGAGATACAGCGTACAATGCTGGAGTTGCTGAACCAATTGGATGGGTTTGACTCCCGTGGGGATGTGAAAGTTATCATGGCCACAAACAGAATAGAAACATTGGATCCAGCCTTAATCAGACCAGGTAAGAGACTTTTTATGATGTCGCATTTCCTCCAAAAAACTTTGTGCTAGGTACTGAATTTGATTTCTGCCTTTTATAGAAAGCTTTCATACACTTTATAATCATTTTATGTCTTAGAAGGAATCTTGATTTAGCAGTACAAAAGCACCAGTTCTCCTGAAAACAGTCCTCTTGAAAACACCCACCTGTAGTAGGGAAGTGATATTCCTTTTTTCAGATGGGGAGCTGAGACATAATGAATAAGGGCTAGAGTCACAAAAGAACTTAGGTGCCTATTCACCCCTGCAGGGGCCTAAATCCCCAAATTAAATCCCACTGGGATTAACAGAAACCCTGCTAAGTTGCCCCAGAACACTATAAGCACTTAACTTTTCATAGTAAAAGTTCCCTGCATTTCTGCCTATACTCATGTGCAATGCAGCAGCCTTCCTCTAAACATCCAGTTGCAAACACCCCAGATCAATGTTTGAAACAGGCTGAGGAACACCTATCTTCTTCTAACTTGCCTGTGGGGCCCAAGGTAGCGAGTGGCTTTCAGCCTGCATTCGAGGTCAGGCCCCTATAGGTGAGCTCCCCTCTCATACTTGGAAGTGCTGGAGGGGAGGACACCTCCCTCTGTCTTTTTAGTTCAGGGGGTAGGGTACTCATGGGATATCCCTTAGTTCAGTTCACTCCTCTTAAGTGGCTATGTCTAGACTATGGGAGGTATCCCAGAAAAACTCCACTGTGTCTAGGGAATGCGTCTGCTCTTCCATGAGGAAGAAGGACTCTCCTAAAAGAGGAGGGTTTTCCACAATTTGGTCCAGTTTAGATAGATCATTGTAGGAAGTCAAAGAAGGATCTGTCACCTGTTGAGGCTGTTCAGCCAGGCATAAATGATGAGTAACTGGGCTAGGGCGAGAACAAGCATAATGATTGTTTAGCAAGGATGGGGAACCTTTGCTGGGTTGGAGACCACAAGTAAGAGAAGAAAAACCCACCTCACAACTGATAAGCAGCAAAAAAACCAAACAAACCCCGACGACGCCTCATTCATGCAACTCCGGACACCAGGGTTCCCTTTACACTCCATTCCTTTGGGGGAGGAAGGGCACCAAGTCTCAGAGCTTCCACTCAGGGCTGGATTGTCTCTTGTGGGGCCCTGGGGCTAGTAGATTTTCTCGGGCTCTCTAAGATGGAGTTCAGTGTGTGGGAGGGGGATGCTGGGGATCGAGGTGGGGCTGCAGGATTTGGGCAGATGGATGTGTGCAGGAATGGGCTTTGGGGGTGTAGAATCTGGATGGAAAAGGGTGTGTGGGAAAGGGCAAGTGATTGGGGCCGCCTACGTTGGGCAGCTCTAAGGGAGTTACACAGCTGGCTCTGTGCCATTCTGTGCTGGCATGTACTGCCCCATCACCACTCTCATTGGCCATGATTCCCAGCCAATGGAATGAAGCCAGTAAGGCAGTGCAGGGACAGAGCTTCCCTGCATTGCTTTTCCTAGTGCAGAGTCACTTCCTCCCCTCACCAGGCAGAGCGGGAGCTAGCAGCTTGCCTTGACACAGGCAGCAAAGCTCAAGACTCCTTCTCCTAGCAGCAGGGAGCTGGTGCTAGCACTCCAGCCACATAGGGAGGGCACTAAAGTGGGGTGTGGGGGAAAGCCCCAAGCTTTGCAGGCTGCAACAAAGCAAGAATCCACATTGCAACAGCTTCAGTAGGTGAAAATGAGGGAGCCCTACATCAGATTAACTCATGATCCAGTGGTTGGGGACTCACCTGAGAGGTGGCAAATCCCTGTTTGAATCCCTTCTTTCCCTTAGACAAAAATGGGAGGGGAATCAAAGGAGTCACCTAAGATGTAGCAGAGTGCCCTGACCACTGGGCTAAAAGTTATGAGCAGGGGTCCTGGCATCCCCAGCTCCTTGCAAAATGGCTTAAGCCCCAGCTGCTAAGAGAAGATTTACACTGAGAATCTTAAGCAGTGGGAGGTGCCTATTTGTGCTCCAGACTTAGGTGCTGAACTCTGAGAGGGGTAGGATGAGGATATACCACTTGTCCTGGCATTACCCATTGCAGAGGAGCAGCCTAGCATGCTGGCTTTTGTGAATCCTATTCTAAGGCACCTGTCTCAGACTTTGAGAATCCATGTGATTTTCTAGGTGCTGAAAAGGTAGGTGTGATGATGCTTAACCTCACCACACCTAAATTCCTTTGTAAATCTAGCCCACCATCATGTAGGATGTCTTTGGTATGAATGTCTTTCCTAATCGTTATCCTTCCTTTTAGTTCAGAAGCATATTTTTGGTACAATTATTGAAAAATAGAATACCAGTTCCACAATTTCTGGGCTGATATATGCTCAAAGACAAAAATCCTGGCACCTACCATTCTGTCTGCCTTGGTGCATGCTGCTTTATAATAAATATAAAACTAAGCATTTAATGTAATGGAAATACAACATGAAGTGCTTGTTTTTGATAAAGCCAGTAAATTTTAAGGTTACTAAAATACTTATATACAAAGGAATTCAGCAATTTGAAAAATAAGTCTAAGCATTTCAAAGTATTAAGCTTCACTTATGTTAACCAGGTGCCTGTTATAGACAGGAAAAGAGCGGGTGTTAGGATGTTCTCTCTGGCAAGTTTTTTACTTATTAACTTGCTTTCCTTCCTTTTGTCAGCCTGAATGTGGCAACCCTCAGGATATGATGCAGGAACTATCCTGTTTGGTTGGAATTTAATAATAGAAGATGGAGAAGTTTGGGCTGGATGGTTATGTTTTGGTTTGTTTGTTTTGAAGATCTATATGGTACAATTCTTATTTCTTTCCTTGAAAAATATTATAAAAAATCTGATGTAAAACTGAGTGGCCACAAAAGATGAGATGGGCACAGATCTGCTATTGTAAAAAACCCACTACCACTTCTTACTTTCCAAATACTTGAAGCTCTAAGGAAGCTACCCCACGTAGGACTACTGTGAGCTTCTTACATTTTTCCTTTTAAGATGGCTTGAGACAAGATAATGGACTAGTTTGTCAATTCTTAAATATAGGAACGTATCAGGCCAGTGCTAGTTCTCTCTCATTTAAACATTCTGGGGCAGTAATTGTCCACTTTGTCTTGCATGCAACACTGCATAAACATTGAACTGTCACACCATGTTCATATTCTCACCTATCCTCTGACCTCAGTTTCTTTGAGAATATGGCAGTGTATAGGGGAAATAGCAACAGCTTATTCTGTACTTGTTCAGGAGACAGAGCACTTCAAACTTCACTGATTCAATCCAGAATCTCTTAACTGCCTTTCCTTCCCACAGGGCGTATTGATAGGAAAATTGAGTTCCCACTACCAGATGAAAAGACCAAGAAGCGTATCTTTCAGATCCACACAAGCAGGATGACTTTGGCAGATGACGTAACGTTAGATGAGCTCATTATGGCTAAAGATGATCTGTCTGGTGCAGATATTAAGGTAAGGTGCACCAGTGCTGATTAAGTTTTTAAACATCAGTTATGATAAAGGTGTAATATCTGGAGTGAATTAACATTACACTGTGATCCAAATAAGCAGCCCCTTCTCTATGACTATAAGAGTCATTCTCAGAGGGATAGCTGTTAGTCTGTAACCTTAAAAATAAGTAGTCCTGTGGCACCTTAGAGACTAACAAAAATACTTAGTATCATGAGTTTGTGGGAAAAAACCCACTTCTTCAGATGAGCTCGTTGATGTGTTTTAGTCTTTAAGGTGCCCTCAGATTTCTTGTTTTTATAAGAGACAGTCTTATCTCCTTTTATCATTAATTAGAATAACAATACTCAGACCTCAGTGCTGCAGGAGACAATCAACATCACCCAAAAGAGCCACAGCACTATGAACTGTTTCATTTACTTGTATATTCTCTCTCAAATGATTGATGCAGTATGATTTTAAGAACTATAATTGGTTAACATAATAAAAGCATCTTAATTAAAACCAGTGTTTTAATATATACTACAAAGAGCTGCAGGAGACACAATAAAGAACCACATGCAGCTGTCAGGCCTCAGTGAGTATTGCTGCATGAGAGAGACCATCGGTATTGCTGTCTGAAAAAAATTAAGTCTGGGCTAGACTCACAAAAATGACCATCTTCTAAATGCCTGAATCAGTCCCTTCTTTGCTGCTGCACCCTATGTACTTGGGAATGAGGCTGCAGACACAAACCCAGCATGATGCAGTAGTCATTGGAAAATAGGCATTTCTCCACCAAACTTTACTGTGGGACAGTACCATTGGGCATGCTCAGAGCTAGCCTACTCAATTGGGTTGCCTTAAGCAAGCTCCACAACAGCTAGCTGGGGGATTGTCACTCATAACTTTTAACCCAAAGGATATTCTGATGTGGGGTGTCCTCAGTCTTTTTTCCTGTTAAAACTGTTCCAGCATGGATGTGCAAGAAAGCTCTGATGGTCATTTTAGCCATAGGGGTTTCTTGCACAAGAAATTCATGTTGCCTGTCTACACTGCCCTCTTGCACAAGAGGGCTTATTCCTCATGGGGCGATGAATAACTTCTGGAAGAAGCCCTGTTTTCCAACACTGTACTGTAAATTTACTTGTGCAAGAAGCTGCCAGTGTAGATGTAGCCTTCTGTTTTGTTGTAGATCAGAGTTAGGGATTGTGCTAAATGTAGCTAGTTCTTTGGAAAAGTGTTATATTGTAAAAGTTGATTTCCTATTAGCATGCAAGTACTGCTTGGATCAGAAACAAAAACTACTCAGTACAGCTGTAGAGAGAAATTGATTTCTAGAGTTATTAGTTTCACAACTTAATAATATACGTAATTAGCAGGTTTTGCCAGTGTTCAGTTTACACTGGCACCTAGAAAATTATATTTGAAAGCTTTAGTAATGTATGTGGTTTGAATTAGCAATATCAACTTTTCTCTTTGGCAGGCAATTTGTACAGAAGCTGGTTTGATGGCTTTGCGGGAACGCAGAATGAAAGTAACGAATGAAGACTTCAAAAAATCAAAAGAGAATGTTCTCTATAAAAAACAAGAAGGCACCCCAGAGGGGCTTTATCTTTAAATTGGGGACTTCTCACTTTCAAAATGAGAGATGGCAACAGAAGTTTCACAGGCCTCAGCAGTACAGCATAAATGTGTTATTCCCTTCGAGCATGATGAATGGAGTGTATTTAGTTACAAGTCTAAAATACTTATTTCCAAATAAAACACGGGTTTCAGAATGATTTTTTTAATTCAGTGTCTTAACTTGTTCTGTTACAGATTGGTGGCTTGCAGTGTTCCCTGGAAGCTGTGGGCTTGTGCAGTCACTCAGGAGCTACCATGCAGTCATTATATAACTCACTAATTACTATGAGCAACCATAATATAAAGACTCAAATCTAATTCAGAGTATTGGAGCTAGTCAGTTATATAGTACCTCTGACAATATACAGCCTGAATAAACCACCTGTACTGTGTATAATAATCTTAAATCTAGTTTATCATCCTAATTGGACTAGATCAGGGGTCTCACAGTCCCAGCCCACAGACTGCCTGTGTCCTAGAGCATAGTCAATCTGGCCCAGAATACCTGAGGTCAGGGAACATCTAAGCCCATCTCCCAGGATGCTGGCTGTAGTTCCCAGCTGCTGTACACAGTGGGGGCAGAATGCTGAATCTTCCTGTTTCTCCCCATTTTATCAGGGCCAGATGCCAATTTGTCAATTTTACTTCTTGCCTGTGACTTGTTCATGACAAAATCATAGGTCCTCTCATGGACTGGTAACTGATTAAATAAGAAACTGCTGTTCTCTCTCTATTGTGAAAACTGACCATTTGTTCCCAAGGATCTGTACAGGGACTAGTGCTGTTCAAAATACTCAATAACATGGAAATAAAATTAACAAAGAGGCAAAGTTTGCAGACAATCACAGAATTACTTCACATAATTAAGTCTAAAGCAGACTGAAAGGAGCTGCAAAGGGATCTCACCAAAACGGGGTAAGTGGGCAACAAAATGGTAGATGAAATTCAAAGTACTAAAGTAATGCACATTGGAAAAAATAATCCCAACTGTACACACAAAATAATGGGTTCCAAATAAGCTGCTACCAAATATAGATCATTCTCTGAAAACTTCCACGCAATGCACAGCAGCAGCCACAAAAGGGTACATTAGGAACTACTAGGAAAAGGATAAGACAAGATACAATACCACTACATAAATCCATGGGACACTCATCTTGAAAACTTCATGCAGCTTTGATTGCCCGATCTCAAAAAGGATCTAATGTACCTGGAAAAGATTCAGAGAAGGCCAACAACAGTTATAAAGGGTAGGTAACAGCTTCTATAGGAGGGACTAAAAAGGTTAGGGCTGTCAATGGAAAAGTATAATCAAAGTCTACAAAAATCCTGAATGGTGTGGAAAAAGTAAACGGAGGATAAGTATGTTAAATTGAGGTTAACTGACTAGTTGAGTAGTCAATGGAATTTCCATGGACTACTCGACTAGTCGATAGACACTTTTGCATTCCTCCACTGGGGCTCTTGTACATTTCAAAGGAAGAATGTGGAACTCTGCATACAGCCCAGGACCAGTGGGAAATCCGCTGATTCCAGCCTACATGCAGGTGCCTGCTTTGAAATGTACAAGAGTTCCCAGCAGGAGATCCACGCTATGCTGCATGCCTGCGGAGCCCAGGGACAGCTGGGGAGTTCCCAGCTGACCTCGGGTTCCAAGCAGCATTTCAACAGAACCTGGGATCAGCTGGGACTCCCTAACCGACCCAGGTTCTGGGGAAATGCCACTTGGAACCCAAGGTCAGCTGGGGTTCAGCATTTTAAAAGGGCAGTGTTGCATAGCTGAGCTGTAGATCAGCTGTGCAGTGGCTGCCCCTTTGAAACATCACTGCTTTGAAGTACCCTATGCCTCCCCTTTGCTGCCTGTATGATATCAACTAATTGACAGACTATAGTCGACTAGTCCTTAACATCCCTAACAGAGAAGTTACCTTTTTTCACAATATACAAACCAGGAGATACTTATTAAATTAACAGGTATCAGATGGAATACAAACAAGATGAAGTACTTCACACAAAACACAGTCAACATGTGGAACTCATTGGCATGGGTTGTGGTGGTAGCCAAAAGTGTTTAAGGGGGTTAAAAAAATAAAAGGGTAACTCCATGGAAGATATCAATGGCTATTAGCACAGATGGCCAGGGAGACACAACCCCATGCTCAGTACAGTCCTAAACCTTTGACTACTAGGGGCTGGGGAGTGGAGGACAATGTTGGTTCATTCCATAAGTGCCCTGTTCATACACTCCCCCTGACGCTCTGCTACAGGCCAATGTCAGAAATGGTATACTGGCCATGGTCAGGCCCAATATGACAGTTCTTACATTTTTAGCTTTGGAGTCACATACCCAGACATTCATGCCAGAAGTGCTTGTTCAGTAACCCAATGAGAACAGAATTACCAAAAGGCTTATCAAACATAATCCCCACAGATCAACACTGAATATTTACAAAGAACAGTTTCAGTCTACAGAAGTAAAAATCTTGCATCAGCAAATCTGCCAAACATATATAAAATATAGTTGATATTCAAAGGTAATCTATCTGTATATACTCAGCTCCTTCCTGAAGATGTTCTCCAACCAGAAAAAGAAGCTAAATTTGTTAGCTAATTTATTCATTGTGAATCATTCATTCATCTCTAACAAGGACACTCATAGCTCTGGTTAAAAATGCTGAAATACTAGCCTATTAAAATTTTTTTTGCTCTGCTACATACATCTGTCAGATTAATCCCAATTGTAACCATTTGTTACAAATAAATAAGGGTTTAAAAAGGTATAGTGCAATTGTCTGAGCAAAGGGCACACTTACGTAAGGCAATAAAGTGCTAGTTGGCTGAATTTGGAGAGAATAAAAAGGAACAACAGAAGCTTACTGGGATTCCCGTATTGTACCCAGAGGAGATGTAACTGTTCTGTGAACACAAACAAAAGGTGAACTCAGAAATGTGTTTCAAAGTAACAGATAAACACATACATTCCATTCTACATAACAGGCCATGGTAGCAATATCAAGGCTCCTTTGTACTATTTTTGCTGATTTTTAGAGAGATTTTGTACTTGCATTCAGCAGAACCATTTAGTTACAAGTCATGTTTTACATGATCCATCAGAGGTGGGGGGGGGGAGGGGGCGCGGAGGATTAAATTTAGGCCACGTCTCCACTTGCTGTGCTGGAGATCAATCTTCTAGCATTTGTTTTAGTGGGTCTAGTAAAGACACACTAAACTGAATGCTGGCAGTGTGCCCCTACTTCTCGCATTTGCAAAGAGTAAGGAAAGCAAAAGCTGCTGTCGACCCCTCACTGTGAATACAGCGCCAAGCTTGGCTTAAGATACATCGACTCCAGCTACATTATTTATGTAGTTGTGTACCTTACACCAACCTTCCAGTCTAGTATAGACCTGGATTAGGGATATAACAGGTTAACCGGTTAAGTAGTTAATAAACTGATACTTTATCGATTCCTGTTAAGGGTTAAACTCTGCTAGGGAGTCCCTGTGGGAGCTGGGAGCACCCTGGGGGCCGACAGCCAGGAGGCCTCCAGCACCCTTCCCTCCTTACCCCTGCATGCCCAGATAATACATTTAAATGTATAACCGATAGAATCAGTTACACGGTTACTATTTTTATACATTTTTACATCCTTAATCAGGATTTAGGGAAACCCCATCATGCTACACAGCTCGCGTTGTATTTAGTTCGTCCAGGAGCTAGGAATCACGAGGTCAGTGTTCTGCACCCCAATAAAAAAATCCCATTTACATTAATTATAATCAGGTCCCATCTCTTTTCTCTAACAAGGGACACCTAATAGGAGATGGCATTGAAAGAGGTGCAAAGACCAAAAGGAGGAGACAAGGGGAGCAACGAGATGTAACTGGAGAAAGACCAGTGTGAGAGAAGGAAAGCCTGAAATGTATGGCATTTACAGTTATGTTCAAAACCTGAGAGGTCTTTACTGTGAAGCAGAAAACCAGCTCATATAGGCTCCTATTGAGAGGACAGTATTTTCATTATTTTGCCACAAACCTATGTTAAGAACATGCTGTCCTTTCTATTTCTGCATCACTAGCACACGTGCCACTGAAATTTCTGCACAGCCCCCATGCATTCCTTCAAAGCTCAAATAATTACACTTGATGCTCATTGCAGGCCACAAGCCACCCAGATTACTAACAACATAGGGCAAGGCTAGAAAAAATACAGCTGAAACTCCTGGCATAGGAAGGTGGGAAGTTGGGCAAGTTTAGAAACAAAGGAGAAAGATGAGGGGAAAATCCCACAAATACACTTCTCTTTAGTATTTGCATTAGACCAGTGGTTCTCAACTCGTTTCAGTCCACAGACCACCAGGCCAATCAAAACATTTTCGTGGACCACCTCCTTTTTGAGACATGATAAAAAAGAGCAGACAACGAACATTTTGGTTTGAAATGTATTTCTTACTAACAGATTTTTGGTGCCTGCCCACGCCGTGTGACTTTGGACAATGTTACTGTGGACCACCGAAAAAAAATTACCATGGATCACCAGTTGAGAACCACAGCATTAGATCTATGAAGTCATTTAAGGCCCTGTGCTTTTGCTATAGCAAACCTTTCTAGCTCTAGTAATCCACCTCTTATACCCAACCCATTGTGTGCCACAGTATTCCAAGATGGTGGTGCCCCTGCCATGTCATGGATCATACACACTAGCAACCTCTGCATAGAATGTTACCAACTGGTTCAAAGGCTGCTGAGATATAGAAAGGTATCCACTGCATCATTAAGCAATTAAAGAATCAGAACAGAGAAGCAGTTGTCAAGAGGATCTTATTTTTTCTACCATTAGTTCCATTTGTGGTACCTGTTAGGTGAATAGGCAGGTGCCACAGAACACCAATACAAAGGGTCACCATAGGTACAGGAAGACAGAAGATAGAAATGGGGAATGTTGAAGGTACATAGACATGATGGGCAGGTGACAGGATGGGGCACTGACTAGAGCTTAACACATTTGAAATTCAGATTTTTCCTCGACAACTTTTGTCCCCACTCACTCCCCCCCCCCCAACAGATTTTTTTTCCTGTTTTTTTGGGGGGGAGGGGCGGGGACTCAGTATTTTTGTTTCAACCATCTGGCAACCCTATCAGAGAGCTGTATCATAGCCTGGTTAAGAAA